CCGCGTTCGGTGGAGCTCCCTCTGGGGCCACGAAGCGTGCGAGGGTTGCGCCGAAATCGGCGGCGCGGACACATGTGGACCCTGCCACTGGAGCCTTCGGTGGAGCTCCCCATGGGCCCACGAAGCGCTGTCCTGGGTGGCGGTGACGCATGCGAACTGCGCCATTGGGACCTTCGTTGAAGCTCCCGATGGGGCCACGAAGCGCTGTCATGGGTGGGGGGAACGCATGCGCACTGCGCCATTGAAGCCTCTGGTGGAGCTCCTTATGGGGTCACGAAATTCTGTCCTGGGTGGCGCATGCGGACCCTGTCACTGGAGCCTCCGGCTGAGCTCCTTATGGAGCCACGAAGCGCTATCCTGGGTGGGGGAGACGCATACGAACGGTGACGCTGGGGCCTTCGGTGGAGCTCCCCATGGGGCCACGAAACGATGTCCTGGGTGGCGTTGACGCATGCGGACCCTGCCACTGGAGCCTTCGTTGGAGCCCCCTTCTGGGGCCACGAAGCGTTGTCCTGAGTGGGAGAAACGCATGCGAACTGCGTCACTGGTGCCTTCGGTGGAGCTCCCTATGGGGCCACGCAACGCTGTCACGGGTGGCGTTGACGCATGCGGACCCTGCCGCTGGAGCCTTCGGTGGAGCTCACTGTGGGGCCACGAAACACTGTCGTGGGCGGGGGGGACGCATGCGAGCGGTGCCACTGGGGCCTCTGGTGGGGCTCGCTACGGGGCCACGAAACGCTGTCCTAGGTGGAAAACGCATACGAACGGTAACGCTGGGGCCTTCGGTGGACTTCCCCATGGGGCCTCGAAGCGTTGTCCTGGGTGGCGTTGACGCACGCGGACCCTGCCACTGGAACCCTCGTTGGAGCCCCCTTTATGGGGCCACGAAACCTTGTCCTGAGTGGGGGAAACGCATTCGAACTGCGCCAGTGGTGCCTTCGGTGGAGCTCCCTATTGGGCCATGCAGCGCGTGGCGGTGACGCATGCGAACGGTGCCACTGGGGCCTTCGGTGGAGCTCCTTGTGGGGCCACGAACGGTGTGAGGGGTGTGCCTACATGGGTGGCGTTGACGCATGCGGACCCTGCCACTGGAGCCTTCGGTGGAGTCCCCTTCTGGGGCCACGAAGCGCTGTACTGGATGGCGCTGACGCATGCGGACCCTGCCACTGGAGCCTTCGGTGGAGCTCCCTGTGGGGCCACGAAGCGCTGTCCTGGGTGGCGTTGACGCATGCGGACCCTGCCACTGGAGCCCTCGCTTGAGCCCCTTATGGGGCCACGAAACGCTGTCCTGGGGGGGAGACGCATGCGAACGGTGCCGCTGGTGCCTTCGGTGGAGCTCCCTACTGGGCCATGCAGCCCTGTCATGGGTGGCGGTGACGCATGCGGACCCTACCACTGGGGCGTTCGGTGGAGTTCCTTGTGGGGCCACGAACCGTGTGAGGGGTATGCCTACATGAGTGGCGTTGACGCATGCGGACCCTGCAACTGGAGCCTTCGGTGGAGCTCCTTATGGGGCCACGAAGCGTTGTCCTGGATGGCGTTGACGCATGCGGTCAACTGGAACCTTCGGTGGAGCTCCCTATGGGGGCCACGAAGCGCTGTCCTGGGTGGCGTTGACGCATGCGGACCCTGCCACTGGAACCTTCGGAGGAGCTCCCTATGGGGCCACGGAACGCTGTACTGGGTGGCGTTGACGCATGCGGACCCTGCCACTGGAGCCTTCGGTGGGGTTCCTTTGGGGCCACGAAACCTTGTCCTGGGTGGCGTTGACGCATGCGGACCCTGCCACTGGAGCCTCCGGTGGAGCTCCCTACGGGGCCACGAAACGCTGTCCTGGGTGGCGTTGACGCATGCGGACCCTGCCACTGGAGCCTTCGTTGGAGCTCCCTATGTGGCCACGAAGCGCTGTCCTGGGTGGCGTTGACGCATGCGGACCCTGTCACTGGAGCCGTCGGTGGAGCTCCCTTTTGGGCCACGAAGCGCTGTCCTGGGTGGCGTTGACGCATGCGGACCCTGACACTGGAGCCTTCGGTGGAGCTCCCTACGGGGCCACGAAACGCTGTCCTGGATGGCGTTGACGCATGCGGTCAACTGGAGCCTTTGGTGGAGCTCCCTATGGGGCCACGAAACGCTGTCCTGGGTGACTTTGACGCATGCGGACCCTGTCACTGGAGCCTTCGGTGAAGCTCCCTATGGTGCCACGAAGCGCTGTCCTGGGTGGCGCTGACGCATGCGGACCCTGCAACTGGAGCCTTCGGTGGAGCTCCCTATGGGGCCACGAAGCGTTGTCCTGGATGGCGTTGACGCATGCGGTCAACTGGAGCCTTCGGTGGAGCTCCCGATGGGGCCACGACGAAACGCTGCATGGGTGGCGTTGACGCATGCGGACCCTGCCACTGGAGCCTTCGGTGAAGCTCATCATGGGGCCACGAAGCGCTGTCCTGGATGGCGTTGACGCATGCGGACCCTGCCACTGGAGCCTTCGGTGGAGCTCTCTGTGGGGCCACGAAACTCCTTCTGGGCCCACGGAACGCTATACTGCGTGGGTAAAACGCAAGGAGCACCGTGGCGAGGCGGATGGGAGGAGGGAGGAGGGGCAGGAGGAGAGGAGCGGAGTGACGCGGGGCGCTGTCTCTTTGGGGGGAGGGAGGAGGGGGAGGAGGAGGGGGAGGCGGAGAGGAGAGGAGAGGAGAGGAGAGGAGAGGAGAGGAGAGGAGAGGAGAGGAGAGGAGAGGAGAGGAGAGGAGAGGAGAGGAGAGGAGAGGAGAGGAGGGACGCCGGCGCTCTCTTCAAAACGAGGACCCAATACCACAGGATGGTTGGGAATAACTTGACACAACTCCCCGGAATCCAAATATTTTCCCATACGTTTTGGGTTTTCGTTTTCCCCCCACTTCCTGTACGTTCCCATACCTTCCTGGGAACCGACGATTCAGTGTGTTTGTGCTTTTCTACTCCTGAAACATCACGCACTCACAATCGGGGCTCACGAGCGGCCAAAGTTTCTGTATCCACTCCCTCGCGGTTTGGATTCCATGGCGCGATCCTTTGGACACGCGGGGTGCACGGATACGTGCCGCGGGGCATCCGGGAACAAACGTTCCGCATCCGCGGGATGGCCCCCACGAGGCCCCCAAGAGGCCCCCAAGAGGCTTCCAAGAGGCCCCCAAAGGAGGCCCCCAGGAAGCTCCCGGGAAGCCCCACGACGGCCTGGCTGCGCGTGCCCTGGACATGCAACCCGCGAGGCGAGAGAAGTTGTCCTTAACCAGCCTCGAAGGTATCCCTGTCCCTAACAAACGGCAAGCGATGACAATCTCTTCGGGATTTGCCCTCAGAAACTGGGGGAATCCTTACGATCGACACCAAGGTACTGTGATGCCAAACATTATTAGGGGCGCGCATTTATACACAAACCTTTTCGGGCAGATGTTCTAAGGACCGCGTGGGCCAAAACCGGCATTGACGCAATCGCCGACAGCGGGCGCGAATCGGACACGCCGCGCCCACGACGAATCTGGACAGGCGCGGGCAGGGCCGCACTTGCTCAGGCATCCTCGGCGACAAACCCCATCCTTATGCATGGAGACGTAAGTCTCGGGTACAGGGGAGGCCAGTCCACAAGAAACCTTCCACAAGAAACCCAACCCTGAGACCCCAGGACGTCCATTGACTTTTGGTGTGGGAACGTCACGCTTTCCACAGCAAAACCGTCGAAACCTGAGTAACCTAGGGCACCATGGAGGCAAGCAGGGTGTTTCTTGGCATGGGCCCCCACTGTACGGAGGACTCGGGTTGGCCCGACGGGACCATCGTGACAATGACAAGGCCCCACCTGCAATTTGACGCGCGCTCCCGCTGCGAACACCCCACGACAACTGAACCGTCAGAACCCAGGACACGCACATGTCAAAAAGCCTCGGCCAACCCGAGTTCCGGCGCACTCGAGTCTTACGCTTCCCCGCATGAGGAGACGGAGATGCTACCAAGACTCGAACTTATCCCTATCCTTATTACCTAAGATCGGAAAGCAAAAAAAGATGACGATATTGGGATGTGCCCGCAGAAACAGGGGAAATCCAGAAGATCGGCATCGAGGCACGGTGATGCCAAACATAGGGATAGGGACATGCTTCAAACTGGTAAGATGCTTCAAGCTGGAACTTCCTCCCTGCTGGCGGCGGCCAGGCCCTCCCCTCCTCCTCCTCCTCCTCCTCCTCCTCCTCCTTCTCCTCCTCCTCCTCCTCCTCCTCCTCCTCCTCCGCCGCCGCCTCCGCCTCCGCCTCCGCCTCCGCCTCCGCCTCCGCCTCCGCCTCCGCCTCCGCCTCCTCCTCCCGCCTCCCCGCCTCCGCCCTCTCCTCCCCCACTTCCTCCTCCGCCTCTCCTCCTCCGGCTCCTCCCGCTCCTCCGCCCCTCCTCCTCCTCCTCCTCCTCTCCTCCTCCTCCTCCCTCCTCCTCCTCCTCCTCCTCCTCCCTCCTCCTCCTCCTCCTCCTCCTCCTCCTCCTCCTCCTCCTCCTCCTCCTCCTCCTCCTCCTCCTCCTCCTTCCTCCTCCTCCTCCTCCTCCTCTCCTCCTCCTCCTCCTCCTCCTCCTCCTCCTCCTCCTCCTCCTCTTCCTCTCCTCCTCCTCCTCTTTCTCCTCCTCCTCCTCCCCTCCTCCTCCTCCCCCTCCCTCCTCCTCCTCCTCCTCCTCCTCCTCCTCCTCCTCCTCCTCCTCACCCTCCTCCTCCACTTCCTCCCCTGGCGTCCAGGCCCCCAGCTGGCGGGTCCCCGGGCGCCGCCGCCTCGGCCTCTGGCGCCGCGTCCTGCGCCGCGGCGGCCTTCGCCGCGGGGGGCGCCATGGCCTCGCGCGCGGGCCCGGCGCGTGGCGCGGGGTCTGGCCGCGGCCGGGCGCCTGGGCGGGGGCCGCGGCTGCGCTTCTGTGTCGGGGGCGGCTAAGAGGGGGGTGACGACTAGGGGGAGGAGGAGGAGGAGGAGGAGGAGGAGGAGGAGGAGGAGGAGGAG